CTAACATGTTTAGAATTTACATATGTACCTCAAAAAAAATAAAAACTAATACAAAATGTTATCATTATTACTATTATTATATCTATTATTATCACCATCATCATCATCATTATTATTATTATTATTATTATTATTATTATTATTATCATTATTGCTCTTGTCGTTAATATAGTATTAAACATTTTACTTTGAACTTGAGTAGGCCATTGACTGACCAGCGGCACTACTTTTGAAAAGGTACTCGTAATACACTATTTTGCTTACATGAAGAATTTACTAAATAGAAACAAGATGGACAACGAAGGTATCGGTAAACTTACTGACTAAAATTTTCCACGATTTTAACTTGATTGTAGTTGATATTATCATTCGGTTTTGAATCTCAGAGGCTGTAGCATTCTTCAAATAATGTATGGTGGGCGACCCAGGCATGTCGACGGCTACAGCCGCTATACAAACTCTTTTAGAATTTATGAATCAAAATTCAGGTAAGACGTTTTAAAGTTTACTATCCCATTTAATGAGTACACCTCTTCAATTGAGAAAAGGGATGAGAGCGGGAGGGGGGGGGGTAAAAGCTTCGCCGAAATTTTAGTTATTCCTTGTCACATCAGCTGATGTTATCGTGTAATTTCTCTCTGTAACTCCAACATGTTAGTTTGCACACTGTAGGATGTAAGATCAGACAAGCTTATTGGCCTATGAGTGCAGTGTTATCGTGATGTAGGACGAAGGTCTCCTGTCTGATTCACAAGGAGATATAGCAATCAGCTGGAAGAATTTCCACTTAGCTCTAGTCAGTCAAGGGGATGTATAAGTAGCTCCTGTGGAGACAGCAAGGCAACATTGTTATGTGAGGGTGCTAGACTTAATAACTGGTGATCCCGGGTTCCAATTCACCATCCCATTACTCGCTGTATTGGTTCTTGGTAGCTCCTAGATCAATGCCGTGACTACACTGCATGTGCAGCCAACAGGCTGTCCACAAACCAACTGCGATATACAACAACTTCATGTTATTGTGGACTTTGTGGGTTTTGTTTTCTGTGGGTCACATTTCTAAAACTACTGAATAACAAGTAATTACTTCAACACTGTTTAAAGTGTAAGTCAATTTTTTTCTCAACTCTTAAGAATGAGATGTTGGC